TTTAGGTACAATACAATTAATATCTCTTCATCATTAGAATTACTATTTTCGAGTCTACCCTATATGAAATCTTATTGATATAGCAAACTGTTCTTTTCTGGTAGCTTCCTACATATTTGTCAATATAAGAAACACATGAGTTTATATCTTACAATAAAATAAATAAAAAGTGGTCGGGTATTAAGAAATACTAAAGTATTGTAGCTATGAATATTGATAAAAATCTTTGAAAGATCCTATTTAAATTGGGAATCAACTTTGGAACCTATGTAAAGTATGAACGTTGGTAAAATTTGAACGTTAATGTTTATTGGATAATTGAAAAGTGAAGGCTGTACTGTATTTGGTATTCATGAAAGACGACTATGACTCGGTGTTCCACTGCATATTCAGAAAAATTTTAAACACTCTTTCTGTTTGATATATTAATCAAAAAATGCTCAATCAATTAAAAGAATTAAAAAGAAGTTATTGATGAAAATATTTTATGACTAAAATCATTTTATTTGTTCGTTTTAAAAAGTATAATTAACAAAGTTATTAAAAAAAAACTATTTTTAGTGGCAGACAGTTTTCTAGAAAAAAGTGGAAGAGCTTATCGAAAGCAACGTAAAAGCAAATATTGGTCGTTAAAGTTCTTTAGCTGTATTCACAGTAAACTTACCTTCTTTCAGACTTAAGATAAATGTTTTAACTATATGAACATTAGCAAGCCTTTCCTCCAAATACAAATAAAGCTTATTAAAATCGTTAGCACAATCAAAACTAGTAACCTCCAAAGATGTTATTGTTAGTACTGACCAAAATATGAGTCTATATACCTGCCCTTTCATTATTGATGATACGATGCGCAAGAAGTATAAGTAGGTAGGCAAGGCAACAAACGTTATTTTTGTTGCGATTTCATTATTTATAAAGGGAATTTAAAGCTTCTTCGAACTTGGTAGCCGACTCTGATAACAAGAATGCCATTTTACATTCAGAGTTTGAATAATTCTTAAAAAATTTAGATAAAATTTAATCATAAAAATTAATAATTAAAAAAATAAATAGAAATAAAATAGAAAAATATGAGATGAAAAAATATAAAATAAAACAATATAAAATATAAAATAAAACATATAAAATAAAAAATTATAAAAAAAATATGAGCTGAAACAATGTAAAAAAATACAAGCTGAAAAAATATAAAAAAGAAATATAAGCTGAAAAAATATAAAAAAGAAATATAAACTGAAAAAATTTAAAAAAAAATATAAGCTGAAAATATATAATGAAAAAATTAAAATAAAAAACATCAACATTTTTGAAATTTAAAGCATTTTATTTAATTTTGGTAATTTTGCATATTATCAATACAATTATATTTTAATCTTCTTTTTCTAACAATAATAAATGTTTAATAAAAATAAATACATCACTTATATACTTTAATTTGCTTTAAATCAATTATATTTAAAACTCACATTGATTAATTCTATTTTCAAATTAAAATTAAAACATTATATAGATATCATATTTTAATAAATTTAAATTAATCGTAATAATTACATCTAAATAAATTTTTAAATATTTATATAAAGTTAGATTTAGATAAAATTACAATAAAAATGTTGTATAAAAATGTTAAAATCATTCATTTATTTTAGCAAAACATTTCACTTTTTTCATAATTTAATTCTTTTTTAAATTATACAATATATATTTCTTAAATATACACTTCTTTTCATATAATTTAGATTAGTTTAACATAAATAAATAATAATTTTATATCCTTAACATGATTTTAAATAAATTATCACACATTAATTAATTGAAATATTAGAAAAATTTTATTAGTAATTTAGAAAAATTTTGTAAATTTTCATATGACAATTATGATTAACAATCTAAAATTTAAAAACAGTAATTACAAAAAATTGGAATACTCGGTAAATGCAGTGATCAATATTATATATAAAAATTCAAAAAAAAAATATATATATATATATATGTAGGAAAGTAGGTATGACAGTGGCGCAAAAGTAATTAAAAGTAGTAGAGTTACGTCGCTGTCATAAGAAAAGAGCGCAGGGAAACTCCGTTGCTTTGAAGTGAGTTGAAGTGAAAAGAAGTAGTAGCAGGGGGCAGCTCGTAGAAGAAGGAAGCAGAGAAAATAATGGTGTGTGCGCGTTAAAATTAGTTTAAAATTAAGTTGAGAAATAATCATTAAATTATTACACTCAGTTATTATAGTTATTTAATCAAATAATCCTTTAATAACAATTAACTATTAAAATTTAAATAAACTTAAGGTCTAGAACCTACATATATCTTTATTCTTTATCAGTGCAATCTATTTATAAAATTACATTATTCAAAACATTTATGTAATATAATGTACGTATTTCACATTTACCATATATCAATAAATATATTATTTTTAATTATATCTTTGATTAAATTAATTAACTAGCACATATATATATACAGTTAAAAATAAGATATAGAATGTGTTAATCTGGATATTATAACGTAAGCAAAAAAACTTTGAGAACGTTTTAACCTACTTTATCGTTTTATCGCCAACGAATGTCGATTCAAACTTGTATTATTGAAAAGGGTCGCGGCGCCAATATAAATTTTACCATATTCTCATCGTAAAGTGAATATATTTTTTACAGTGTTGCATGTACTAAGCAACAAGTATTCGTTACATTTAATTTTTGTAATCCATTGATACATTTTTAAACGATTTATGTTCGAATTCAAAAAATTAAAATAATGCTTTTGGAAGGAAAAACTGTATTTATGTTAAACTGTACTTATAGATGTGTGATGGAGATGATCCCCAATATCATCAGTTATTCCCAATGATTTAGATACAATATTTAATACATTATTAAAACAAATTTTCTTACTTTCTTCATAGCACTGTTACAAAATATGAGAAAAACTTCAGAACATTAAATTCGTTGAAATTTTAAAGAAATTAAAATAATAATAATCCAATGTTATAGAGAAATTAAGATTTCTAATAAAAGAGTAGAAAACTCGCTGGGAATTTACCCATCGCTATAAAGAAAGGTTTGAAGCATACAATATCTCATGGCTAAATTCATTTTTTAGTGTTGAAGTGGAACAAGAATTAGACGTAGGTTATTTCATTAGATTAATTTTAGATTTTAAACTGAATAACTTAGTGGATGTCACATGAATACCATATATTTTGAAGAGCTTCTTTAAAAACCAGTGCTGTAGGTGCATCCCAATAGGGTGTGTTGAAACCGATTTGACCAACAGTAAATGTTTAAATAAAATTGGCCTGGCATTTAAGTCTCATGTTACGAAACGGTAGCATTGGACTATGCTGAAGACAACGATCCCACAACGCGATCAGTGGAATGCGCTGATACGGCATAACGTGCCCGAGAAACATAAAAAAGCGAGCGAGCAAAAACGGAAGTAGCAGAAGCGTGAGTGAGTTGCTGTTTGCTATCCATTCGGTTTGGGTTTGTTTTGGATGTGGAGATGTTTCGATATTGTGAAGTGGTCAAGGTGAAAACTTTGTGAAAATAATGTCATCATAATAAGTAACTTAGAATCCAAACCTGCAAGAATATATGCTTCTTCATTATATGCTGAAAGTGTAAATTTGTGCAAGTTCTCCTAACATAGCAGAATCCATCAAAGTCAAACAATAGAAACAATATCATGCGGTCCTGTGAAGCGGATACCAGCAGCGGACTCAGTAGCAGTAACAGCAGTTGGCTCCACACACATAAGTGCAGGTAAGACAGTGACGGCAGTTTTGCAGGTAAATAACAAATAATTTAAGAAAAAAAAAATAAAGATTACAATCAACTAGACAACATGAGTTTTATTCCACTTAAGAAAGGGCAAGAACATTTTGGCGCAGCCGGTAGAATACTGGTAAGTGTTTTGTGAAAAAATATTTTTTTTAGTAACTTATACGTTATCATCCTATTTTTTTTTTTTTTTGAGTTGAATTATTTGACTGTTTATTTTTATAGAAAATATTAAAAGTTTCTTAATTGGTTCATATGATTTCACTTGAAGTTGAATTTTCGTAATTTTATATAAGTTAACTCCCGCGTACCCCATAATCCGGCCCTGTGCTTAGTTTCATTAACGGAGCAATCATGCGATATTGTTCGAACGCATGGTTGCTACCAAACGGGACTTCCACTTGTTTGTCTGGAAAAGTCCCGTTTGGCTTCGGTAGCTCCCAACTTCGCAAAAGTGTGCTCGGTCTCTCCTGCTTCAGCCTCCGAAGAAGCAACATCAAAATTATTCTAAATTAAACAAAAGAATATTTAACTGGCGCCCGAGCAGGGACATGAACCCTGGACCCTCCATATAATGGAATATATATATAATGGAATAATAAAATATTAAATTATTTTTTTTAAAAAAAAAAAAGAGAAAAACTATTCGAAACTATTGAAGAGATTTCAATTCAATTACTAAATAAAGAGGAAAAAAAAAATAAAAGGAGACACTATTCGAAACTATTGAGGAGAATTCAATTCTATTGAAAAATGTAATGTTTATTTTAATTACATTGGCAACCCTTTTATTTTATAGTTCAACTATTGTAACTATTACACTTTGTATTTATTCTTTAGTCTAATAAAGGCTTTTAAACTCAACAGGTTATGGGCCCAGAGCTTGCACTTACGCTGTGTTGTTTTGTTTTTTTTTATATATAAATTTTTTTTTACGAAATAATATTTAAAATACTGTAATAATGGCATCGGAAGGTGAAATTAAAATTGAAAAACTAATGGACAGTTCGCAATGGCTTACGTGGAAATTCCAAATGGTTCAAATTCTGGATGCTGGTGATATGTATGCAGTGCTGACTGGGGCTGAACTACCGCAGGAAGAAAAAAAAATTAGTATGCCAGAAAACTGATTCAAGGGCTCGTCGTACAATATGCACGTCACTGGGTAAACAACCTTTGTTGCAAATACTTCATTGTGTGACTGCAAAAGAAATGTGGGATACACTAAAAAGTGTGTATGAACAAACGTCAAGATCTAACCTCTTATTTTTGCAGCAAAAGTATTATAGTTATATTAAAGATCCGGAGGACGACATTGCAACCTTTTTATCCAAACTAATGGAAATTGTGCAGCATCTTCGTGATCAAGGCGAATGTATATCTGATTCAATGATAATTACGAAGGTATTAATGTCTTTACCAGCAGAATACAATCACTTTTATAGCGCATGGGAGTCGGTACGAGCTGAGGACCAGAATCTTAACACCTTAAGAGCACGGCTTATGGCAGAAGAAATAAGAATGGGCGCTCAGGAAAAACAAAAATCAGAAGCTTTCTTAGCAAAACGACAATACCGACCAGCAAACTAAAGGGCAACAAAATAAAGCTGTGAAAACAACGACCAGGAGTCAAAGGTGCTTTAAGTGTGGTGACAAAGGCCATTTCAAACGTAATTGTCCACAAATTAAAAAGGTTGAACCAAATGCAAATCATTGCAGAAGCTATGAAGCTTTAATGTGTAGTACAAATGCAAGCTGCAGTGGAAATAATTGGGTTCTTGACTCAAGAGCAACGGATCATATGTGTCATATAAAGGAGTGATTTGAAAGTTTGAGAAACCACAATGATATCGTCAGGGTTGGCGATGAACGTGCTATTAAATCGGCAGGTAAAGGAAATATTGTCGTTTTGGTTACTGAAGGTCATAAATGGGTGCAGAAAGTACTGAAAGATGTACTTTATGTTCCAGGCATCCAATATAATTTATTTTCATCAACAAAGGTACTAGATCGTGGTTATAAATTCCATTCTGACAGTAGTACTTGTAAATTTGTCAGAGGAGACGGAAGTACTGTTGCAGTGGGAGTTCGAAGAGGAAAGTTATTTAAAATGCTGATTAAGGTTCCAGAAGGCGTCATGTTAAATGTAGCAGTCGCCGACAACTTACCTTTGCAAATATGGCATGAAAGAATGGGTCACCAAAATGGATCACATGTGAAGAAAATTCTGAATAAAAACAATATTGGCTTTGTGGAAAAGGAATTTTCATGCGAGGGATGCATTTTAGGTAAGCAGCACAGAAGCAGTTTTAAATCACGTCAAGTGAGGTCAACAAGCTGCGGGGAACTGTGTTTCGCAGATGTGTGTGGTCCATTGCAAGTAAAATCTATCGGTGGTGCCAGGTATTTCTTATTAATTAAAGATGACTATTCTCATTTTCGTTCTGTTTATTTCTTGAAAGAGAAATCTGAAGTTCCAAATGCCATTAAAAGTTTCTTGATGCAAGCGGAGAAAGTTGATCAAAAAAAAATAAAGCGCATGCGTACGGATAATGGTGTGGAATTTATTAATGATGAATTGCTCAAAATATTTGCACAATTTGGTGTAAGGCATGAAAGGACGGTGCCGTATACTCCGCAGCAGAATGGCTGTGCTGAACGTGAGATGCGAACGGTAATGGAGCTAGGACGTACAATGATTTATGCTAATGACATGGATTTGAAATTTTGGGCTGAGGCAGTGAATACCGCAGTTTACGTATTAAATCGTACAGGTACTAGTACGGTGAACGAGAAAACACCATATGAGTTGTGGTATGGACAACAGGCGAATATAAGTCATCTCCGCAGTTTTGGTGAAGAAGTTTATGTGCACATACCTAAAGAAAAACGACGCAAACTGGATGCAAAAGCCTGGAAAGGTATTTTTGTTGGTTATGCAGACAACAGCAAAGCTTTAAGGGTGTGGAACACTAACTCGCAAAAAATAGAAATTTCGTGCGATATTCAATTTTTACCTGACACAGCAACTCTCAAAGTTCAGTCATCTCTAAAATATAATTCGCAAAATCACAGCTCAGAACGTGAATCAAAAGCTGATAAAAAACTTCATGGATATGAAGTAGTGGAAAAAGGTAATGATAATGAGATATCGGAGGACAATGTATTTTATGATGCTCTCAACAATGATGACAAGAACAACCACAATAAGAGCTGCATTGTCAATCGTCTTTGGAGTGAAACTGGTTCGGAACATATTGCAGCCCTTATGATAAGCGAGGAGCCTAAATCTTTTGAAGAAGCGATGCAGGTAAATGATCGCGCAAAATGGCAAGCAGCAATGAATGACGAGTACGAGTCATTAATTGAGAATGAAACTTGGAATCTTGTTGAAACACCATTAGATCAAAAAATAATAAAAAATCGGTGGATTTACAAACTAAAGCGAGATGCTCGAGGAAATATTGATCGCTATAAAGCGCGGTTGGTTGTGAAGGGTTTCACCCAAGAATATGGAGTTGATTACGAAGAAACATTTAGTCCAGTTGCGAGGTTTACTTGTATACGTTGTATTTTGGCTACGGCAGCAATACGTAAGATGGCTCTTATGCAATTCGATGTTAAGACAGCATTCTTAAATGGTAGTTTAGAAGAAAACATTTACATGCAGCAACCAATGGGTTACGATGACGGCAGTAGACGTGTATGTAAGCTGGTGAAAAGTTTATATGGACTGAAGCAAGCATCAAGATGCTGGAATAAAAAATTTACTACAATTCTTCAAGGTTTTGGGTTGCAAGTATCGAAGCATGATCCTTGTGTTTTTATCAGCAATAGTGATGATGGATCTATAATTATGGCTATCTATATTGATGATGGTCTAGTAGCTGCAACAAATAGTAAACTTATAACTAATTTGATGGCTCAGTTGGAAGTAGCGTTCAAAATAAAAATTTTTGAGGCAAAGTATTTTTTGGGGATTGAAATTAATCGAAAGGCTGATGGATCAATTTACATTGGTCAGGAAGCTTATACTAAAAAGGTAATTGCTAAATAAAAAATGCAAAATTCTCCTATTGTAGCTACACCTGCAGACAGCGCAAGCAATTTGAGTAATTTTATATCTGATGCAGAAGTCAATTTTCCATATAGGGAAGCGGTTGGCAGTCTTATGTATTTAGCAGTAGCTACAAGACCAGATATAGCTTTTGCTGTATCTAACGTAAGTCGATATCTTGAGAAGCCAGCAACAGCGCACATTAATGCAGTCAAAAGGATAATCAAATATTTAAATGGCACTATTGGCATAGGAATCTGTTACCAGAGTAACAGCAAACTTAATCTGCGTGGTTACAGTGATGCTGACTATGCAGGTGATGTGCAAACTCGAAGATCTACCTCAGGTTTCCTTTTTATGGTAGATAAAGGTATAATAAGCTGGTGTTCTGAGCGTCAGAAGTGCGTTTCTTTATCAACAACTGAAGCAGAATATATTGCAGCAGCTAGCGCAGCAAAGGAATTAATTTGGGTCAAGCGTTTTTGGTCTGATCTTGGGAATCCTGGACAGATAGAGTTCTGTATTGATAACCAAAATGCAATTCGTCTAGTAAAAAATCCTGAATTTCACAAAAGGACAAAACACATTGATGTACGTTATCATTTCATTAGAAATGCATACAATGAAAAGGCTTTCGAATTAAAATATGTGGCATCTGGTGATCAGCTTGCAGATGGGCTTACTAAAGCACTTCCGAAAGAAAAATTTGTACTTTTTAGAAATCAGATTGGTTTAAAACATCTCTGTAGTATCCTAATGTAACTAAAAAGTGGGAGTATTGAAAAATGTGATGTTTATTTTAATTACATTGGCAACCCTTTTATTTTATAGTTCAACTATTGTAACTATTACACTTTGTATTTATTCTTTAGTCTAATAAAGTCTTTTAAACTCAACAAATTCAATTACTAAATAAAGAGGGAAAAAAGAGAAACTTTTCGAAACTATTGAGGAGAATTCCATCCTTTCATTGGGATTTTTTCCACTGCACACATTTAGCCACTTAGCCCAAAAAAGTGTGCGAGTTACATTTTGACAGCTAGTATCAGCTGTGAACATATTTTGATTTCAATACTTTTGTTACATATTTTGCGATGGCAGAGAACGCAGAAATCGATAAAGTATTTTTATTTGCGCAATTTGGCAAATTAATGGAATTATATAGTCAGCATAATAAATTGAAAGAGAGATTCTTAGAAGAATATCCAAAGGTAATTATAAAATAATTTCAGTAAATAACATAAATTATCAGTTTGACTATTTAGCGCGAGCTTGCACAAAGTGATCAAGTTTTCGGTTAAAAGTTTTCTAATAACGATGATTAATTTTTTTTAATACAAATAAAACAAAACGTTTTAATAAAATTATTTTTTATTGTCATTTTCTATATTCTTATATTTATTTGAATTCAATTACGAAAATATTATCTTATGAAAATACTATAATGGCAACCCTGGCGATTTAGTCTCGACTTAGCCACCTCGAAAATATGCTAAGTATCGACACATAACTACATTATCGGCACAACTTAGAATTTCCCTCATTTAGAACGCAACTTAACGACCTTAATGATTAAACATCAACCCATCAGGACCGGACTGGCAAGTGATCTTTAAATATAATTTTTATTTGATTTGCATTATGAAAAATATTTTTGTGGAAACTATGGATTGTTACTATTTTTTATAATTTTTTTAAATTATAAAAATTTGAATTTTAATGTTATTATTTTTTATAATTTTTATATTTTTAGATGATGATTATATTTTTAGTTGATGAATTGAATATTGTTCGTTATTTTTGTTATTTTATTTAATTCTACTCTTTTCTTTCTTCTCTCTTACTATCAAAATTGGCATAAAATACAAGTGTTAAACATTAGAACTGTTTTCATTTTTTGCATTCTAATGTTTATGGTTAGTGAAAATAATTCAAACTTTTAACTTAAAATTTACAATATTAAAAGTTTACAATATTTTTTTTTGATTTATCTAAACCTTGTCTAATAAATAATCATAATTACGGACGTTGTTATTATTGTAACCTTTCGCAAGAATTTATTTATTATTCTACCTATCTTGTTGAACACTATTATTTTTTGTCGTGCATCATGAAAACCGAGCTATATAAAACCCCAGTCTGTGAGACAGACTACACTGATTTATTAGACCTGTCTGACCCATTACATGCTCAAGGTACTACCTCGACTCGAAACTTCGATATAAATTTACAACTTTTCTCCGTAGAGCAAAAGCTAGAATTGGAACGCATGGTTAATATCAGCGTGAAAGAGGCCTTAAGGCCGAGGCAAGACCTGATCGAAGGGAAGCTGGTGATGCCATTGGATTACTGCAAAAATATTGCCGAGTCGGAAAAAATTCCTGATATCGTAAAAACACTTACAGAATTTTCGGTCAAAATTGGAGAATTTGGATCTTGGCGAAAATCTGTCGATAGAATACTTACCCTATACTCACAATTGAAGGGTACACCGAGATATTATGCGATTATGCACTCTATTCGTCACATTTGC